CAACGCTCAACCACAAGCGCTCTAGGTGTCCTCAGTCAGCCAGGACGTCTAGTTCAACAACGCTCAACTACAATGCTCCTTGTCTCAGCCACCGAGGACTCAATAGTTTCAAGCTCCACACACAGCGCTCCTTGTCTCAGTCACGCAGGACGCAGTTTCAACGCTACCCACAATGCTCTTGTCTCAGTCCACCAGGAGTCTAGGTTGTTTTGTTTCAACAGCTCACCCAATGCACTTGTCCTCATCACCAGGACGTCTAGTTCAAACGCTCACCACAATGCTCCTTTGTCTCAGTCCACCAGGACTCTAGGTTTACAACGCTCCCACAGCGCTCTTGTCTCACAGTCACCAGGACGTCTAGTTCAACGCTCACCACAGCGCTCTTGTCTCAGTCACCAGGACGTCTAGTTCAACGCTCACCACAATGCTCATGGTCTCAGCCACCAGACGTCCTAGTACAAAACGCTCACCACAGCGCTCTTGTCTCAGTCACCAGGACGTCTAGTTCAACGCTCACCACAATGCTCTTGTCTCAGTCACCAGGACGTCTAGTTCAACGCTCACCACAGCGCTCTTGTCTCAGCCACCAGGACGTCTAGTTCAACGCTCACCACAGCGCTCTTGTCTCACAGTCACCAGGACGTCTAGTTCAACGCTCACCACAGCGCTCTTGTCTCACAGTCACCAGGACGTCTAGTTCAACGCTCACCACAGCGCTCTTGTCTCAGTCACCAGAACGTCTAGTTCAATGCTCACCACAATGCTCTTGTCTCAGTCACCAGGACGTCTAGTTCAACGCTCACCACAATGCTCTGTTCACAGTCGCACCAGGACGTCTAGTTCACATCGCTTACCAAAATGCTCTTGTCTCAGGTCACGCTGGACATCTAGTTCAACGCTCACCACAGCGCTCTTGTCTCAGTCACCAGGACGTCTAGTTCAACGCTCACCACAATGCTCTTGTCTCAGCCACCAGGACGTCTAGTTCAACGCTCACCACAATGCTCTTGTCTCAGCCACCAGGACGTGGCGTAGGGTTCAACGCACACCACAATGCCTCTGTCTCGCCACCAGGACGTTAGTTTCAAAACGCTCACCACAATGCACTTGTCTCAGTCACATTGTGTGGTCAGGACGTCCTAGTTCAACGTCTCACCAACACGCTTCTTGTCTCAGTCACCAGGACGTCTAGTTCAACGCTCACCACAATGCTCTTGTCTCAGTCACCAGGACGTCTAGTTCAACGCTCACCACAATGCTCTTGTCTCAGTCACCAGGACGTCTAGTTCAACGCTCACCACAATGCTCTTGTCTCAGCCATCCAGGACAGTCTAGATTCAACGCTCCACCACAGCGCTCTTGTCCTCAGTGGACCAGGACGTCTAGTTCAACGCTCACCACAGCGCTCTTGACACAGCCCACATGACGTCTAGTTCAGAAAACGCACACCACAATGCACTTTCTCAGCCACCCGGACGTCTAGTTCAACGCTCACCACAATGCTCTTGTCTCAGTCACCAGGACGTCTAGTTCAACGCTCACCACAATGCTCTTGTCTCAGTCACCAGGACGTCTAGTTCAACGCACACAACAATGCTCTTTGTCTCATGTCACCAGGACGTCTATTTCAACGCTCACACGACAATGGCTCATGTCTCAGTCACCAGGACGTCAAGTTCAACGCTCACCACAATGCTCTTTGGTCCATCCGCCACCAGGACGTCTAGTTCAAGCGGCTCCACCACAATGCTCTTGTCTCAGAGGCCACCAGACGTTCTAGTTTTCAACGCTTCACCACAATGCTCTTGTCTCGCCCCCACCAGGACGTCTAGTTCAACGCTCCCCACAGAAGCTCTTGTCTCAGGCCACCAGGACGTCCTAGTTCAAACGCTCACCAAAATTTCTCTTGTCTCAGCCACCAGACGTCTAGCGTTCAACGCTCACTCACAATGCTCTTGTCTCACTCTCACGCAGGACGTCTAGTTCAAAACGCTCACCACAGCGCTCTTGTCTCAGCCACAGGACGTCTAGTTCAACCGCTCACCACACGCTCCTTGTCTCACATCCCAGGACGTCTAGTTCAACGCTCACCACAGCGCACTTTGTCTCTTCACCAGGACGTCCTAGTTCAACGCTCACCACAGCGCTCTTGTCTCATAGTCACCAGGACGTCTAGTTCAACGCTCACCACAATGCTCTTGTCTCAGTCACCAGGACGTCTAGTTCAACGCTCACCACACGCACTTTTCTGAGCCCACAGAACGTCTAGTTCAACGCTCACCAAACAGCCTCTTTTGGTGGTCCTCACAGTCACCAGGACTCTAGTTCAAAACCTCCTCACTACAGCGCGCTTGTCTCACAGTCACCAGGGACGTCTAGTTCACAACGCTCACCACAGCCTCTTGTCTCAGTCAATCACAAACGTCTAGTTTCAATGCTCACCACAATCTCTTGTCTCAGTCAACCAGGACGTCTATTCAACGCTCACCACAATGCCTTTGTCTCAGTCATCAGGGACGTCTAGTTTCAACGCTCACCACAATGCTCTTGTCTCAGTCACCTGGACATCTAGTTCAACGCTCACCACAGCGCTCTTGTCTCAGTCACCAGGACGTCTAGTTCAACGCTCACCACAATGCTCTTGTCTCAGCCACCAGGACGTCTAGTTCAACGCTCACCACAATGCTCTTGTCTCAGCCACCAGGACGTCTAGTTCAACGCTCACCACAATGCTCTTGTCTCAGCCACCAGGACGTCTAGTTCAACGCTCACCACAATGCTCTTGTCTCAGCCACCAGGACGTCTAGTTCAACGCTCACCACAGCGCTCTTGTCTCATCACCAGGACGGCTAGGTTGCAACGTCTCACCACAATGCTCTTGTCTCAGTCACCAGGACGTCTAGTTCAACGCTCACCACAATGCTCTTGTCTCAGTCACCAGGACGTCTAGTTCAACGCTCAGCTCACAATGCTTCTGTCTCAGCCACCAAGGACGTCTATTTCAAGGCTCACCACAGCGCTCTTGTCTCAGTCACCAGACGCCCTAGTTCAACGCTCAACCCAACCCCAGCGCTCTTGTCTCAGCCACCAGGACGTCTAGTTCAACGCTCACCACAATCTCGTGTCCTCAGCCACCAGTACGTCTAGTTCAACGCTCACCACAATGCCTCTGTCTCAGTCACCAGTACGTCTAGTATCACGCTCACCACTAATGCGCTTGTCTCAGTCATCCAGAACTTCTAGTTCAAACGCTCACCACAATTGCTCTTTCTCAGTCACCAGGACGTCTAGTTCAACGCTACGCACAATGCACTTGTCTCAGTCCACCAGGACTCTAGTCAAACGCTCACCTACAATGCCTTGGTCTCAGCCACCAGGACGTCTATTTCAACGCTCAACCTCATGCTCTTGTCTCAGCCACCAGACGGTCTAGTTCAACAAACAACGCCTTCACCACAAGCGCTTGGCTCACCACCAGGACGTCCCTAGTTCAACGTCACCACAATGCTCTTGTCTCAGGGCCACCAGGACGTCTAAGTTCAAACCTCACCACAATGCTCTTGTCTCAGCCACCAGGACGTCTAGTTCAACGCTCACCACAATGCTCTTGTCTCAGTCACCAGGACGTCTAGTTCAACGCTCACCACAGCGCTCTTGTCTCAGCCACCAGGACGTCTAGTTCAACGCTCACCACAGCGCTCTTGTCTCACAGTCACCAGGACTTCTATTCAACGCTTCACCACAGTCGCTCTTGTCTCAGTCACCAGGGAACGTCCTAGTTCAACGCTCACACCACAGCGCTCTTGTCTCAGTCACCAGATCCGTCTAGTTCAATGCTCACCACATGCCGTCCTTGTCTCAGTCAGGCCAGACGTCTAGTTCACAACGCTCACCACAATGCTCTTGTCTCAGTCACCAGGACGTCTAGTTCAACGCTCACCACAATGCTCTTGTCTCAGTCACCTGGACATCTAGTTCAACGCTCACCACAGCGCTCTTGTCTCAGTCACCAGGACGTCTAGTTCAACGCTCACCACAATGCTCTTGTCTCAGCCACCAGGACGTCTAGTTCGCGGGACGGCTCACCACAATGCTCTTGTCTCAGCCCACCAGGACGTCTAGATTCAACGCTCAGACCAACAATGCTCTTGTCTCAGCCACCAGGACGTCAATAGTTCAACGCTCACCACGCGCTCTTGTCTCTGCCACCCAGGACGTCTAGTTCAACGCTCACCACAGCGCTCTTGTCTCAGCCACCAGGACGTCTAGTTCAACGCTAACCACAGCGCTCTTGTCTCAGTCACCTGGACATCTAGTTCAATTACGCTCGACCACAATGCTCTTGTCTCACACCAGACGTCTAGTTCAACGCTCCACCACAATGCTCTTGTCTCAGCCCCCAGGACGCTAGTTTCAACGCTCACCACAGCGCTCTTGGCTCACCAACCAGGACGTCTAGTTCAACGCTCACCACAATGCTCTTGTCTCAGCCACCAGTGAACGTCTAGTTCAACGCTCACCACAATGCTCTTGTCCTCAGCCACCATGACGTCTAGTTATTAACGGCTCACCACACGCTCTGTCTCAGTCACCAGGAACGTCTAGTTCAACGCTCACCACAATGCTCTTGTCTCAGCCACCAGGACGTCTAGTTCAACGCTCACCACAATGCTCTTGTCTCAGGTCACCAGGACGTCTAGATCAACGCACACCCAGCGCTCCTTGTCGCACAGCACCAGGACTCTAGTTCAACGCTCAACCACAAAGCTTTGTCTCAGTCACCTATACATCTAGTTCAACGCTCCACCACGCGCTCTTGCCTCAGACACACGCATGACATACTAGTAGCACCTCAAGGAAGGGATTTGCAAAATAAGGTATAATGAATGGCTTTCCTTTGATTTACGAGAAAAGGTAGTAGGCCTATTGCCTATGCTAGCTAGGCTGTCCAACATTTTTCCTCCTCATCTTTTTTCCTTCTTTTCTCTAAGCATTTTCTGACTTAAATTTTACGTCAGACAGTCATCGTATTACGGCGACTGACTGACCACGAAAAACGTAGTGTAAAACAAGAGGAAGGTATTTTGGTGATTACTTTTTGTTAAATCACCGCTTGCCACCTCAGTAGGCCTATACTGATCATGTATAAAATACACGAAGGTAAACTATTTACATATAAAACACGTGTAACAATGACTGAAATCTAAATAAATAGGGTATTTAATGAAGTGATATCTGCTGCGAGTTAGAGTGACTTATATGCGTCCATCAAGGTCTGTCACACATGTTATATGCGTCCATCAAGTTTGTCACACATGTTATATGCGTCCATCAGGTTTTGTCACACAAGTTATATGTCGTCCATCAAGGTTTGTCACACATGTTATATGCGTCCATCAAGGTTTGTCACACATGTTATATGCGTCCATCAAGGTTTGTCACACATGTTATATGCGTCCATCAAGGTCTGTCACACATGTTATATGCGTCCATCAAGGTCCGTCACACATGTTATATGCGTCCATCAAGGTGTTTGTCACACATGTTAATGCGTCCCATCAAGGTCCTGTCACACATGTTAATGCGACCATCAAGGTCCGTCACACTATGTATAAATGCGTCCATCAAGGTCCGTCACAACATGTTATAATGCTCCCATCAAGGTTTGTCACACATGTTATATGCGTCCATCAAGGTCCGTCACACATGTTACATGCGTCCATCAAGGTTTGTCACACATGTTATATGCGTCCATCAAGGTCCGTCACACATGTTATATGCGTCCATCAAGGTTTGTCACACATGTTATATGCGTCCATCAAGGTCCGTCACACATGTTATATGCGTCCACCAAGGTCCGTCGCACATGTTATATGCGTCCATCAAGGTCCGTCACACATGTTATATGCGTCCAACAAGGTCCGTCACACATGTTATATGCGTCCATCAAGGTCTGTCACACATGTTATATGCGTCCATCAAGGTCTGTCACACATGTTATATGCGTCCTTCAGGTCCCGTACAATGTTATAAGCTCCATCAAGGTTTCCGATCCACACATGTTTACATGCGTCCATCAGGTTTTGTCACACATGTAATATGCGTCCATCAAGGGTCGTCACAACTGTTATATGCGTCCATCAAGGTTTTGTCACACCATGTTTATATGCGTCCCATCAAGGTCCTCAAACATGATATATGGCGTCCACCAAGGTCCGTCACACATGGTATATGCGTCCAACAAGGTTCTCGTCACACATGTTTTATATGCGTCCATCAAGGTCTGTCCACACTTGTTATATTCGTCCCATCAAGGTCTGCTCCAACAATGTTTATATGCGTCCATCAAGGTCCCGTCACACATGTTAATGCGTCCATCAAGTTCTGTCACACATGTTATATGCGTTCCATCACCAAGTCCGTTCACACATGTTATATGCGTCCATCAAGGTCCCGTCACTCAAATTTTATGCGTCCCTCAAGGTCCCTTCCCACAAGTTAATGCGTCCATCAAGGTCCGTCACACATGTTATATGCGTCCATCAAGGTCCGTCACACATGTTATATGCGTCCATCAAGGTCCGTCACACATGTTATATGCGTCCATCAAGGTCCGTCACACATGTTATATGGGGCGTCCATCATGTTTTTCATACATGTTATAATGCTCCATCAAGGTCCGTCACTACGTTATATGCGATGCGCATCAAAAGGTCCCGTCACACATGTTATATGCGTCCATCAAGGTCCGTCACACATGTTATATGCGTCCATCAAGGTCCGTCACACATGTTATATGCGTCCATCAAGGTCCGTCACACATGTTATATGCGTCCATCAAGGTCCGTCACACATGTTATATGCTCCATCAAGTCCCGACAACATGTTTATATGCGTTCATCGCAAGGTCCGTCACAATTTCCGGCTCAGGTATAGCTTATGTAAAACTTCATAAACATAAATGGTTATTTCTAGTTGGTGTATTTTGTTCAAGGTACATGAGTACAGTGACAACAAAGTTCAAGGTACATGAGTACAGTGACAAAGTTCAAGGTACATGAGTACAGTGACAACAAAGTTCAAGGTACATGAGTACAGTGACAACAAAGTTCAAGGTACATGAGTACAGTGACAACAAAGTTCAAGGTACATGAGTACAGTGACAACAAAGTTCAAGGTACATGAGTACAGTGAAAAACAAAGTTCAAGGTACATGATTACAAGTTGACATCAAAGTTCAAGGTACAGAGTACAGTGACAACAAAAGTTACAAGGTACATGAGTACAGTGGACAAACAAAGTTCCAAGGTACCAATGCGTACAGTGACAACAAAGTTCAAGGTCATGAGTACAGTGACAACGAAGTTCAAGTACATGCGTACAGTGGACAACAAAGTTCAAGGTCATGAGTAACAGTGACACAAAGTTCAAGTGTACCCATGAGTACAGTGACAGCAAAGTTCAAGGTACATGAGTACAGCAGTGACAACTAAGTTCAAGGTTAACGTGAGTAACTAGTGACAGCAAAGTTTCAACGTACAATGAGTACAAGTGGCAACGAACAAAGTTCAAGGTACATTGAGTACAGTGACAAGCAAAAGTTCAAGGTACAAGAGGACAGTGACAACACAGATCAAGGTACATGAGTACAGGTGACAGCAAAGTTCAAGGAACAATGAGTACAGTGGCAACAAGTTCAAGGTACATGAGTACAGTGGCAACAATGTTTTCAAGGTACATGAGTTACAGTGACAACAAAGTTCAAGGTACTGAGTATCAGTGACAACAGAGTTCAAGGAACATGAGTACAGTGACAACAAAGTTTCAAGGTACCTGAGGTACAGTGACAGCAAATTCAAGGTAACAAGAGTACAGTGGCAACAAAGTTCAAGTACATGAGTACAGTGACAACAAGTTCAAGGTAACATGAGTACAGTGACAACAAAAAAGTTCAAGGTACATGACTACAGTGACAACAAAGTTCAAGGTAACATAGTACGAGTGACAACAAAGTTCCAGTACATGAGTCAAGTGACAAAAAGTTCACGGTACATAGTACAGTGACAACAAAGTTCAAGGTACATGAGTACAGTGACAACAAAGTTCAAGGTACATGAGTACAGTGACAACAAAGTTCAAGGTACATGAGTACAGTGACAACAAAGTTCAAGGTACATGAGTACAGTGACAACAAAGTTCAAGGTACATGAGTACAGTGACAACAAAGTTCAAGGTACATGAGTACAGTGACAAAGTTCAAGGTACATGAGTACAGTGACAATGTTCAAGGTACATGAGTACAGTGACAAAGTTCAAGGTACATGAGTACAGTGACAAAGTTCAAGGTACATGAGTACAGTGACAACAAAGTTCAAGGTACATGAGTACAGTGACAACAAAGTTCAAGGTACATTAGTACAAGTACAACAAAATTTCAAGTAACCTGTATACAGTGACAAAGTTCAAGGTACATGAGAACAAGTGACAACAAAGTTTCAAGTACATGAGTACAGTGACAACAAAGTTTCAAGGTACATGATACAGTTGGACAACAAAGTTCAAGGTACATGATAACAGTTGACAAAGTTCAAGTACATGAGTACAGTGACAATGTTCAAGGTACATGAGTACAGTGACAAAGTTCAAGGTACATGAGTACAGTGACAAAGTTCAAGGTACATGAGTACAGTGACAAAGTTCAAGGTACATGAGTACAGTGACAACAAAGTTCAAGGTACATGAGTACAGTGACAAAGTTCAAGGTACATGAGTACAGTGACAACAAAGTTCAAGGTACATGAGTACAGTGACAAAGTTCAAGGTACATGAATACAGTGACAACAAAGTTCAAGGTACATGATACAGTGAACAACAAAGTCCAGGTACATGAGTACAGTGACAACAAAGTTCAAGGTACATGAGTACAGTGACAACAAAGTTCAAGGTACATGAGTACAGTGACAACAAAGTTCAAGGTACATGAGTACAGTGACAACAAACAAAGTCACGGTACATGGTACAGTGAGAACAACAATGTTCAAGGTACATGAGTACAGTGACACAAAGTTCAAGGTGATCATGAGTACAAAGTGACACAAATTAAAGGTACCATGAGTACATGACAACAAAATTTCAAGTGTACATGAAGTACAGTGACATAGTTCAAGTGCATGAGTACAGTGACGACAAAGTTCAAGGTACATGAGTACGTGACAACAAAGTTCAAGGAACATAGTACAGTGACATAGTTCCAAGGTCAAGAGTACAGTGACAACATAGTTCAAGGTACATGAGTACAGTGACAAAGTTCATGTACAATAGTTACAGTGACAAAGTTTCAAGGTACATGATAACAGTGACCAACTAAGTTCAAGTACATGAGTACAGTGACAAAGTTCAAGGTACATGAGTACAGTGACAACAAAGTTCAAGGTACATGAGTACAGTGACAACAAAGTTCAAGGTACATGAGTACAGTGACAACAAAGTTCAAGGTACATGAGTACAGTGACAACAAAGTTCAAGGTAACATGAGTAAAGTGAAAAACAAAGTTCAAGTATCAATGAGCACAGTGACAAAAGTTCAAGAACAATGAGTAAAGTGACAATTAAGTTCAAGTACATGAGTACAGTGACAAACAAAGTTCAAGTACATGAGTACATGCCAAAGTTCAGGTACGTGAGTACAGTGGCAACAAGTCTCAAGTACATGAGTACAGTGACCAAGTTCAAGGTACATGAGTACAGTTACAACAACGTTCAAGGTACATGAGGTTACAGTGAACAATGAAGTTCTCAGGTACATGAGTACCAGTGCAACCAAAGTCAAGTAGCATGTGTACAGTGACAACAAAGTTCAAGGTACATGAGTACAGTGACAACAAAGTTCAAGGTACATGAGTACAGTGACAACAAAGTTCAAGGTACATGAGTACAGTGACAACAAAGTTCAAGGTACATGAGTACAGTGACAAAGTTCAAGGTACATGAGTACAGTGACAATGAATTTTCAAGGTACATGATGAACAGTGACGAACCAGTTCAAGGTACATGATACGTGCAAATTCAGGTACGTGAGTACCGTGGCAAACAAAGTTCAAGGTACAGAAGAACATGACCAAGTTTCAAGGTACGTGAGTACTTGACAACAAAGTTCAAGGTACATGAGTACGTGACAATGAAGTTCAAGGTAAATGATCCCCGTGACACAACGTTCAAGTACATGAATACAGTGACAACAAAGTTAAAGTACATGAGTACAGTGACAAAGTCTTCAAAGGTACATGAGTACAGTGACAAAGAAGTTCAAGGTACATGAGTACAGTGACAAAGTTCAAGGTACATGAGTACAGTGACAACAAAGTTCAAGGTACATGGAATACAGTGGAAAACAAAGTTCATGTAATGTGGGACTACAGTGACAACAAGTTTCACGTACATGAGTACAGTGGCAACAAAGTTCAAGGTACATGTGTACAGTACAACAATGTTCAAGGTAATGAGTACAAGTACAACAAAGTTCAAGTTACAATGAGTAACAAGTGACAACAAAGATCAAGGTACATGATACAGTGACAAAGTTCTATGGTACATGATACCGTGACAATGTTCAAGGACATGAGTACGAGTGACAAAGTTCCAAGGGTTACTGAGTACAGTGACAACAAAGTTCAAGGTACATGAGTACAGTGACAACAAAGTTCAAGGTACATGAGTACAGTGACAACAAAGTTCAAGGTACATGAGTACAGTGACAACATCAAAGTTCAAGTAACATGTGTACAGTGACAACAAAGTTCAAGGTACATGAGTACAGTGACAGCAAAGTTCAAGGTACATGAGTACAGTGACAACAAAGTTCAAGGTACATGAGTACAGTGACAACAAAGTTCACGGTACATGATACAGTGACAACAAAGTTTCAAGTTACATGAGCACAGTGACAAAAGTTCAAGGTACATGTACAGTGACAACAAAGTTTTCAAAGGTACATGAGTACAGTGACAACAAAGTTCAAGGAACTGAGTACAGTGACACACAAAGTTTCAAGGTACATGTGTACAGTGACAAACGAAAGTTCAGTACATGAGTACAGTGACAACAAAGTTCAAGGTACATGAGGTACAAGTGACAACAAAGTTCAGGTACATGATACAGTTTGAACAACAAAGTGCAAGGTACATGTGTACAGTGACAACAAAGTTCAAGGTACCATGGTACAGTGACACCAAATTCAAGGTAACATGAGTACAGTGACAAAGTTCAAGGTACATGAGTACAGTGACAAAGTTCAAGGTACATGAGTACAGTGACAAAGTTCAAGGTACATGAGTACAGTGACAACAAAGTTCAAGGTACATGATCAGTGACAACAAAGTTTCAAGTAATAGTACAGTGACAAATTCAAGGTACATGATACAGTGACAAAGTTCAAGGTACAGAGTACATGACAACAAATTCAAGGTTACATGAGTACAGTGACAGCAAAGTTCAAGGTACATGAGTACAGTGGCAACAAAGTTCAAGGTACATGAGTACAGTGACAACAAAGTTCAAGGTACATGAGTACAGTGACAAAGTTCAAGGTACATGAGTACAGTGACAACAAAGTTCAAGGTACATGAGTACAGTGACAACAAAGTTCAAGGTACATGAGTACAGTGACAAAGTTCAAGGTACATGAGTACAGTGACAACAAAGTCAAGTACATATAACAAGTGACAACAAAGTTCAAGGTACATGAGTACAGTGACAACAAAGTTCAAGGTACATGAGTACAGTGACAACAAAGTTCAAGGTACATGAGTACAGTGACAACAAAGTTCAAGGTACATGAGTACAGTGACAACAAAGTTCAAGGTACATGGTAACTGTGGACAAAGTTCAAGGTACATGAGTACAGTGACAAATACAAGGTACAAATGAGTCCAGTGACAAAGTACCAAGGTACATGAGTATCAGTGACCAACAGTCAAGGTACATGAGTACAGTGACAACAAAGTTCAAGGTACATGAGTACAGTGACAAAGTTCAAGGTACATGAGTACAGTGGCAACAAAGTTCAAGGTACGTGAGTACAGTGACAACAAAGTTCAAGGTACATGAGTACAGTGACAGCAAAGTTCAAGGTACATGAGTACAGTGGCAACAAAGTTCAAGGTACATGAGTACAGTGACAACAAAGTTCAAGTACATGAGTCGTGACAAAGTTCAGGTACATGAAGTACAGTGACAAAGTTCAAGGTAACGTGATACAGTGACAAAGTTCAAGGTACTGAGTACAGTGACAACAAAGGTTCAAGCACATGAGGTACAGTGACAAACGAAGTTCAAGGTACAAGAGTACAGTGACAGCAAAGTTCAAGGTAAAAAACATGTGTACGTGGGCAAACAGTTTCAAGTTACATGAGTCAGTGACCAACAAAGTTCAAGGTACATGAGTACAGTGACAGCAAAGTTCAAGGTACATGTGTACAGTGACAACAAAGTTCAAGGTACATGAGTACAGTGGCAACAAAGTTCAAGGTACATGAGTACATGACAACAAATTCAAGTACCTGAGTACAGTGACAACAAAGTTTCAAGTACATGAGACAGTGACAACAAAGTTTCAAGGTACATGAGTACAGTGACAACAAAGTTCAAGGTACATGAGTACAGTGACAACAAAGTTCAAGGTACATGAGTACAGTGACAACAAAGTTCAAGGTACATGAGTACACTGACAACAAAGTTCAAAGTGCATGAGTACAGTGACAACAAAGTTCAAGGTACATGAGTCAGTGACAACGTTCAAGGTAACATGATACAGTGACACAAAAACAAGTACAAGGTACATGATTACGTGACAACAAAGTTCAAGGTACATGAGTACAGTGACAACAAAGTTCAAGGTACATGAGTACAGTGACAACAAAGTTCAAGGTACATGAGTACAGTGACAAAGTTCAAGGTACATGAGTACAGTGACAACAAAGTTCAAGGTACATGAGTAACAGTGACAACAAAGTTTCAAGGTACAATGAGTACAGTGACAACACAGTTCAATGTTACATGTGTAACGAGACAACAAAGTTCAAGTACCATGAGTAAACAGTGACAACAAAGTTCAAGGTACCATGTGTACAGTGACAACAAAGTTCAAGGTACATGAGTACAGTGACAACAAAGTTCCAGGTATATGGAGTACAAACAGTGACAATGAAGTACAAAGGCCTAATTCACCCCCGCTACTTCACCTTGTGTATTATATTCACCGTGTGCTTAATTCGCTGTGTGTGGTGTTGTTGTGTGTGTGTGTTGTGCGTGTTGTGCTTTGTGTGGTGTGTGTGTGTGTTGTTTACACGCTGAATATAACAGGGAAAACATATATAAACACCCTTGCTTAGGTTAGGTAAAATTCACCAGGAAACAGGACAAATGCCTCCTGACACAAGTCTTAAGTCACACCATGACCCGCTACTGAAGTTTTATGATCATATGACTGAAGCCTTCAACCTGGCTTACCTCCATTTAGCCCCTTTAAACGTTAAAGATACAGTTATTTAAGTTGGGCCGAAAACCTACATTTAACACACAAAAAGTGTAACAAGGCGGCCACAGCGTCATCTTGCTGATCCTCGTGTTGGCAGCTCTGTAGTTCCCTGAGGCCCGGGAGGCACTCTTCTTGGTCGACGATTTGTTTCTCCTCCTTAAATAAAGAGAAAAACTAATAATAGTTTGACGTTTTAATGCAGTGGATAAGGTCGAGTGTGTGTGTGTGTGTGTGTGTGTGTGTGTGGGTGTGTGTGTGTGTGTGTGTGTGTTGTGTGTGTGTGTGTGGTTATTTGACTAATGCAGGATATCAACGATACAGCGATAACGCATATCGTAAGAATAAAGCGAAAAATGACTCACGAAATCGTAATGACACGATTGAAACAAACCGATACCACGGGTGGGAATAGAACCCGCGATCAGAGAGGCTCTGTCCAGTGCTAACGCGACGGTCTGGAAGTTTTTGAGACGCTCTGATCGCGGGTTCTATCCCCGCCGGTGGTATGGTTTTCATAAAAGCGAATAAACGTATATTCGAAAGAATATAAGAGTAAACGCTATAATTCTTAGTAGTTATTTTTATTACTGCTGCTAATACTAATAAGCTGCGTACTATATAACTAATATTAATCCTAGTATTAACTATACACTATCATTATTACTCATGCTACTACTATTATTTACTACTGCTATTTAATACTACTACTACCACTATTGTTACTTAACTACTACTGCATATTACTACCATTAAAAATGATTATTACTACTACATAATACTTTCTATTCCTACTACATATATTACTACTACTATTATTACTACGACTACTATTACTATATCAACTACTAACTAATACTACTACTATTATTACTACTACTATTACAATTATTACTACTACGTTGCTATTATTAACTACTACAGCTAATTCTACATTACTAACTGCAAGCTATTACTATTCTACTACTACTATTATCACTACTATTCCTACTACTATATTACTACTAGCAAATACTATTATTACTACTACTAGACTATTTTTACATTATTACTGCTACTAGCTATTACTACTATATTATTACTACTAGCCATTACTACTAACTACTAACTATTACACATACTAATACTACTACTTACTTAGCTATTACTACTTACTACTACTTTTACTACTACTAGTCTATTATTACTATTATTACCTACTACTAGCTATTACTACTATTATACTACTACTATTACTACTACTGACAACTACTACTATTACTACTACTACTACATTTACTACTACTACTATTTTTTTGATAATTACGACACTAGCTATTACTACAACTACTACTACTACTATTACTACTACTACTACTACTATTACCTACTACTACTACTATTAATACTACTAGCTATTTTCTATAATTACTACTACTAGCTATTACTCCAACTACTAATTATTGCTACTACTATTATTAATATCATTCTACTACTAGCAAATTACGACTACATCTATTACTACTACCAAGCTATTATACAACTACTACTACTACTACTACTACTACTACACAACTTACTACTACTAATAATAATAATAATAATAATAATCATAATAATAAGAATAATAGCATAATAATAACCACATTAATATATACACGGTGAGGTTCGTCTGTATATTAGTAACAAAGTTAAGAATAATGTTATTTCGCAGTAATTTACCTTATATAAGATCACATAGACAAGTAATTATGGTTGTATATAACATCATAAGCTGGGCAGAATATAACATTATAAGCTGGGGCAGAATAACATCATAACTTGGCAGAAATATAACATCATAAGCTGGGCAGAATATAACATCATAAGCTGGGCAGAATATAACATCATAAGCTGGGCAGAATATAACATCATAAGCTGGGCAGAATATAACATCATAAGCTGGGCAGAATATAACATCATAAGCTGGGCAGAATATAACATCATAAGCTGGCAGAATATAACATCATAAGCTGGGCAGAATATAACATCATAAGCTGGGCACAATATAACATCATAAGCTGGGCAGAATATAACATCATAACTGGCAGAATATAACATCATAACGGGCACAATAAAACATCATAAGCTGGGCAAATAAACATCATAAGCTGGGCAGAATATAACATCATAAGCTGGGCACAATATAACATCATAAGCTGGGCAGAATATAACATCATAAGCTGGGCAGAATAAAACATCATAAGCTGGCAGAATATAACATCATAAGCTGGCAGAATATAACATCATAAGCTGGACAGAATATAACATCATAAGCTGGGCAGAATATAACATCATAAGCTGGGCAGAATATAACATCATAAGCTGGGCAGAATATAACATCATAAGCGGGGCAGAATATAAAAATCATAAGCTGGGCAGAATATAACATCATAAGCTGGGCAGAATATAACATCATAAGCTGGGCAGAATATAACATCATAAGCTGGGCAGAATATAACATTATAAGCTGGGCAGAATATAACATCATAAGCTGGGCAGAATATAACATCATAAGCTGGCAGAATATAACATTATAAGCTGGGCAGAATATAACATCATAAGCTGGGCAGAATATAACATCATAAGCTGGGCAGAATATAACATCATAAGCTGGGCAGAATATAAACATCATAAGTTGGGCAGAATAAACATTATAAGCTGGGCAGAATATAACATTATAAGCTGGGCAGAATATAACATCATAAGCTGGGCAGAATATAACATCATAAGCTGGGCAGAATATAACATCATAAGCTGGGCAGAATATAACATTATAAGCTGGGCAGAATATAACATTATAAGCTGGGCAGAATATAACATTATAAGCTGGGCAGAATATAACATCATAAGCTGGGCAGAATATAACATTATAAGCTGGCAGAATAAAAACATCATAAGCTGGGCAGAATATAACATCATAAGCTGGGCAGAAAAACATCATAAGCGGGCAGAATATAACATCATAAGCTGGGCAGAATATAACATTATAAGCTGGGCAGAATATAACATCATAAGCTGGGCAGAATATAACATCATAAGCTGGGCAGAATATAACATTATAAGCTGGGAAAGAATAAACATCATAAGCGGGGCAGAATATAACATCATAACGGGGCAGAATATAACATCATAAGCTGGGCAGAATATAACATCATAAGCTGGGCAGAATATAACATCATAAGCTGGGCAGAATATAACATCATAAGCTGGGCAGAATATAACATTATAAGCTGGGCAGAATATAACATTAAAAGCGGGGGCAGAATATAGCATTATAAGCTGGGCAGAATATAACATCATAAGCTGGCAGAATATAACATCATAAGCGGGGCAGAATAAACATCATAAGCTGGGCAGAATATAACCATCATAAGCTGGGCAGAATATAACATCATAAGCTGGGCAGAATATAACATCATAAGCTGGGCAGAATATAACATCATAAGCTGGGCAGAATATAACATCATAAGCTGGGCAGAATATAACATCATAAGCTGGGCACAATATAACATCATAAGCTGGGCAGAATATAACATCATAAGCTGGGCAGAATATAACATCATAAGCTGGGCACAATATAACATCATAAGCTGGGCAGAATATAACTATGATTTAGAACTATTATCTTGCATTTAAAATGGAATATAAATTTACCGTGCTTACAAACCGTGAATTCCCTTAAAAATGAAGACATTAAAAAACTATAATTCCACTTTAGACTAAGGATAAAAATGCTTATAATTATAGAGTGACCAACTCAGTAAGCTAGGCTGAAATAACTAGAAATGATAAAAAAACGGTATGACAAGTTAGAAGCTTCTTAGTCATATTAGACGATTTGTGCTTAGATATAATCAACTGGTTAAGTATAAATAACTGTTGAGAGACAATTGCTATAAACTAAGTCTGGTTGCAAAAGCCAATGATAAACAAAAATTAACGATAGAGAACTCTGGAAACACTTTAATTAAGCGTGGAGTGAGGTGATGGTGGAGGGTGAGGAACAACAGTGTTGGTCAGTACCAGGAACTGCTGCCTGAACCACGGCAGGTGTCTGTCAGTGTGTTACCCGGGCAACTTTTAGTTCTGTATCATAACGTGATAGTCAACTTGCTGTGGCTGCGCAGAGTGCACCAACATATTGCTGGATCGTGCACCAACATATTGCTGGATCGTGCACCAACATATTGCTGGATCGTGCACCAACATATTGCTGGATCGTGCAACCAACATATTGCTGGATCGTGCACCAACAATATGCTGGATCGTGCACCAACATATTGCTGGATCGTGCACCAACATATTGCTGGATCGTGCACCAACATATTGCTGGATCGTGCAGCAACATATTGCTGGATCGTTCACCAACATATTGCTGGATCGTGGCCAGAAGATAGCAGTCTAGCTCATGCTATTAATATCGCGGACTACAAAACAAATCCAGGAACAGGAATCCCATAATTCATCGTTCTCCAGCAAAAATTAAACAGCTAAGTTTATTAAAGTTAATACCCATTTCAACATTATTTTACCTCCCTTCAAGGAAGGATAGGGGGGGGGGCCTTGATGCCACTGAGGGGCTCTTGATAAAAAGAATCAGAGCTGCCCTCCTTATCCTCGAACTTAGTCTTAATTTCCTCCAGTTCTCCAAGGTGCTGTATGACCCCTTCAGATTTAGAGTTCCCCACGAATATAATAATCGTTCGTGAATGTGAAATTCGTGTATTGAAGATTTTGTTTTTACGAAAAAGTAAGATTAATGTTGAGTTTAATTCCATCAACTAATTTAACCTTTATTTTCGTTGCTAAAATAATCAGTCTATCCATAGCCTGATAAAAATAGTTATTCCTTGTGTGATTATTTTTGGTGGGAAGAGATATTACCAAAAAAAAAAAAAAATTATAGGAGGCAGAATGTATCAGGTACACCGGCCCAGTGACGTCAATTTCGAATAACCACAGCCCGAGCAATGTCTCCTGAGTGTACATTGTGTTAGGTCAGCCTCGGCTAGGCTACGTTAGGTCAGGCTAGGTTAAGTTAGGTCAGGCTAGCTAGGTTAAGTTAGGTTAGACTAGGTTAGGTTAAGTTACGTAAAGATAGGTCAGGCTGGGCTAAATTAGGTCAGGCTAGGCTAGGT